GCTCCTAATCTCAGTTTGTTACCTGTATAAAAGACACCTGTCCACAGAAGCAATCAATCAGATTCCAAACTCTCCACCATGGCCAAGACCAAAGAGCTCTCCAAGGATGTCAGGGACAAGATTGTAGACCTACACAAGGCTGGAATGGGCTACAAGACCATCGCCAAGCAGCTTGGTGAGAAGGTGACAACAGTTGGTGCGATTATTTGCAAATGGAAGAAACACAAAAGAACTGTCAATCTCCCTCGGCCTGGGGCTCCATGCAAGATCTCACCTCGTGGAGTTGCAATGATCATGAGAACGGTGAGGAATCAGCCCAGAACTACACGGGAGGATCTTGTCAATGATCTCAAGGCAGCTGGGACCATAGTCACCAAGAAAACAATTGGTAACACACTCCGCCGTGAAGGACTGAAATCCTGCAGCGCCCGCAAGGTCCCCCTGCTCAAGAAAGCACATATACAGTGGGGAGAACAAGTATTTGATACACTGCCGATTTTGCAGGTTTTCCTACTTACAAAGCATGTAGAGGTCTGTAATTTTTATCATAGGTACACTTCAACTGTGAGAGACGGAATCTAAAACAAAAATCCAGAAAATCACATTGTATGATTTTTAAGTAATTCATTTGCATTTTATTGCATGACATAAGTATTTGATCACCTACCAACCAGTAAGAATTCCAGCTCTCACAGACCTGTTAGTTTCTTTAAGAAGCCCTCCTGTTCTCCACTCATTACCTGTATTAACTGCACCTGTTTGAACTCGTTACCTGTATAAAAGACACCTGTCCACACACTCAATCAAACAGACTCCAACCTCTCCACAATGGCCAAGACCAGAGAGCTGTGTAAGGACATCACGGATAAAATTGTAGACCTGCACAAGGCTGGGATGGGCTACAGGACAATAGGCAAGCAGCTTGGTGAGAAGGCAACAACTGTGTTTGGAGGAAGAAGAAGGATGAGTACAACCCCAAGAACACCATCCCAACCGTGAAGCATGGAGGTGGAAACATCATTCTTTGGGGATGCTTTTCTGCAAAGGGGACAGGACGACTGCACCGTATTGAGGGGAGGATGGATGGGGCCATGTATCGCGAGATCTTGGCCAACAACCTCCTTCCCTCAGTAAGAGCATTGAAGATGGGTCGTGGCTGGGTCTTCCAGCATGACAACAACCCGAAACACACAGCCAGGGCAACTAAGGAGTGGCTCCGTAAGAAGCATCTCAAGGTCCTGGAGTGGCCTAGCCAGTCTCCAGACCTGAACCCAATAGAAAATCTTTGGAGGGAGCTGAAAGTCCGTATTGCCCAGCGACAGCCCCGAAACCTGAAGGATCTGGAGAAGGTCTGTATGGAGGAGTGGGCCAAAATCCCTGCTGCAGTGTGTGCAAACCTGGTCAAGACCTACAGGAAATGCATGATCTCTGTAATTGCAAACAAAGGTTTCTGTACCAAATATTAAGTTCTGCTTTTCTGATGTATCAAATACTTATGTCATGCAATAAAATGCAAATTCATTACTTAAAAATCATACAATGTGATTTTCTGGATTTTTGTTTTAGATTCCGTCTCTCACAGTTGAAGTGTACCTATGATAAAAATTACAGACCTCTACATGCTTTGTAAGTAGGAAAACCTGCAAAATCGGCAGTGTTTCAAATACTTGTTCTCCCCACTGTACATGCCCGTCTGAAGTTTGCCAATTAACATCTGAATGATTCAGAGGAGAACTGGGTGAAAGTGTTGTGGTCAGATGAGACCAAAATGGAGCTCTTTGGCATCAACTCAACCCGCCGTGTTTGGAGGAGGAGAAATGCTGCCTATGACCCCAAGAACACCATCCCCACCGTCAAACATGGAGGTGGAAACATTATGCTTTGGGGGTGTTTTTCTGCTAAGGGGACAGGACAACTTCACCGCATCAAAAGGGACGTACCGTCAAATCTTGGGTGAGAACCTCCTTCCCTCAGCCAGGGCATTGAAAATGGGTTGTGGATGGGTATTCCAGCATGACAATGACCCAAAACACATGGCCAAGGCAACAAAGGAGTGGCTCAAGAAGAAGCACATTAAGGTCCTGGAGTGGCCTAGCCAGTCTCCAGACCTTAATCCCATAGAAAATCTGTGGAGGGAGCTGAAGGTTCGAGTTGCCAAACGTCAGCCTCGAAACCTTAATGACTTGGAGAAGATCTGCAAAGAGGAGTGGGACAAAATCTCTCCTGAAATGTGTGAAAACCTGGTGGCCAACTACAAGAAACCTCTGTGATTGCCAACAAGGGTTTTGCCACCAAGTAATAAGTCATGTTTTGCAGAGGGGTCAAATACATATTTCCCTCATTAAAATGCTAATCAATTTATAACATTTGACATGCATTTTTCTGGATTTTTGTTGTTGTTATTCTGTCTCTTACTGTTCAAATAAACCTACCATAAAAATTATAGACTGATCATTTCTTTGTCAGTGGGCAAACGTACAAAATCAGCAGGGGATCAAATACTTTTTTCCCTCACTGTACATGCATAATCACATTTGCAGTCATTTTTGATAATGGTGTTTCCCCGCTAATGGAACATTCGCGCTTATAGCCTACTGCCGTGTGCGCATTGCGGCACTTATAATGTGAAGACATAGTCTAACAGTTTATCAACATTTTAAGCTAAACGTTCTGATCTGTTGCGTCAGCCTCATTGCGTAAAAAAGGTTTGTTGATGCTAGTGGTTTGTATTAATTTGGGATCTATCGCATCCCACAACTGTCTCAGACTATGTTTGGAGTATTTATTTCTCGCACAGAATAGGTCAACTTTTGTACTATGGGGGATAATAGATTGACATAGGCTAGTGCTTTTGCTGTTTGCTAGGCCTACTCATCTAGTTGGCTGGCGAAAAGTGGATAGTTCTTCCAATATCTTCAATATGCACCTTGGAATTGGATAAGGACGTGCAGTTGCGTCCCCTATGTGTCTGTCTTCACTTGTAGTCTGTGAGAAAGACCCGATCACGTGATGGAGAGCCATGTGAGTGAGAGGTGCTTCGGAGCATGCAGCACTCTGGGAGAAGGGAATTATAATAATTATATTCAGCCCAAGGGCACAACGGCCACAAAAGGCATGGATTATTTTAGCGGGCATTACGGCCACACAAAGGGTATGCTGCCGGGAAATTCGAAGCATTATCAAGTGCTTGTCAAATTGTGAATGAGAGACTGATGAAGTGTGTACAGCCTGCGCAAAAAACTAAGCAGAGCTCATGCCTTACATGCGACTTTTTTCAAATCATCATTAGAGTCGCATTATGCAGCCTTACAATGTATTAAAAATCTAAACATATAGCCCAACGTTTGTAGAACAACTAAAGTTACATTAATAACTCTAAAGCATATAGGAGTACCCATTTCTTTGTTAAGTGCTCAACACAGAAATAGCCGCATGTGCGCACTCCCTCAAATCGTTTGGAGAAAATATCCTTTGTATTTTATTCAGCTTGGTTCAATTTTATTCTTCATACTATAAAATAATATAAAATAATGCCACGGAATTCTAAGCAAATCTTGTCTGCTAAATGAACTAGTGTAGCCCGCAGCCGTATGGCATAGCCAGATGAGGACCTAACATAAGGACAACTCAGAGTATGCTATTCTGTTCTTCTGAAATAGACATTTTCTTCATATCATGTTTCATTAGACCTGTCTAAAATAAATAATGGATTTATTGTGAAGGTGTAGGCTATATTACATGGATTTATTAGACTATTTAAAATGTAGATGTTCCAAAGGTCTGCATCAGTGGCTTGTAGGCTACGTGTGGAAGCCAGGAGATGCTAAATGTGTTTATGTTAATTAACGGTCAATTGCCACAATCACATTTCGTGACCGCCACAGCCCTAAGTACCGGTATACTGATTCTGATCTATGAGCGTAAATGAAACAATAGATCTATATAGTAAATACCTGCGGGTAGATTAATAACATATACTGTTTACATGTTGACATTTAAGCCACTAAGTGTGACATCTGAACTGCATGCCATAGCTATGTGACACCAACAGCTCATTACCTTTTCTACCAACCTTTCAATTCTATTCATGACTTTTGGCAAACAATCAAATGAGAAGAGGAGGGTGATAAGGGTGCGCACATACTAAACTAGTCTTATCTAGCTGTCCCAGTGGGACCTTCCTGAGAAACATGCAGCCAAACATGTCGGTCTCCTCCCTTGGCTTGGACTCAAGACAAGACAAGATGATAGCCCCTTTTTAATTTGATAGGGGTGAGAGAGGGCAGCCAGGGCTGACACCATTTTTTGCTGATGCAGTGTGGAAAATGTCTGATTGAAAATGTTCCTTGGAACAAATGTATAGTTTGATTAATTTGACAGAGCCCTATATCACTCCCAGAAAAATTATAAATCAAAACAAGGTAGGATGTAAAGATGAGATGCAATAGAAAGGGTTGGTCCACCTGAGCGTAGAGATCTGTACACAACCAAAGAGCATTTCACTCCATGGCTTGCACCTGTACCAACATCTTTAAACACAAATATAACATCTAGCTCAATCATCACCACCACTCAATCACACCCATGTTGACCATAAAGGCTCCCTGCCATGAATCTGGCAGACAGTTAAAACTGAGCCCTCATCTGCTGCTAGCAGTTAACAGCTGTCTCACTTAAACAGGCTAGGCTATACCCACACACACCCCTCCATCTCTGTCAACACAGAGAGAGACACACACAGAGAGAGACACACACAGAGAGAGAGACACAGAGAGAGAGAGAGCACAACTGCCAGGGCTGTCTGCCTATAGTCAGCCCTGCCAGTCCATAAATTACCTAAAGGAACACATTTTAAGGCAGGCACAGAGGAGAGAGAGGACCTCCTCCTCGACCAATCAGGGTTCAGGTATCCCAGACTTCCGGATGACATGTGTCCCCGCGGCACGTTCCGTGTGAACGAGGGGCGCATTCCCAGAGGAGGGGGCATTAGCTACTTACTCTGATCCGAGCTCGGTTGAGTCTAACTCGTCTTGATCCATGCCATCGTTGAGATCTTCTCCCAGTACACTGATCCCCAGCGTAGCGACGGCCCTGAGCAGGATCGACCCCATCGCCTCCACAGACAGCTTGTCCAGAACCAGGACCCTGCACCTGCTCAGCAGAGCCGCGTTCACCTGGAACGAAGGATTCTCCGTGGTCGCCCCGATCAGAGTCACCGTCCCACACTCCACATGAGGGAGGAAGGTATCCTACATACAGACAGACAACAAGAGACATAGAAAGAGAGAGAGGAAAAGAGAAGTTGTTGAGCATCCAAAAAGTGGCTCAATATCAAGGGTGAGTCACAGTGCTTTGATTACCTGTGCATGAAATACCATTGGCACTATTCCTCATTAGGTTTAATAGGGTAGCTGTGTAAAAGCATTATAGGGTACATGGTTAAAAGACAAAGCTATATCACGCATGCGCTATGATGGCTATGTTTTCCATCTTAGCACCTCTTTAGCCCGAGCCGGGTGTAGAGGGTCGGCCCTGGCTCTAACTGCCTGTTAATTGTTATCAGGATTTACAGACTAAATTCTGTCATGCAGGATAAAGGGTAGTTCTGTGCCACAGTGAGAGACATCCTTCATATTATACTACACAAAATGAAGATAGGAACAATAAATATCCTTCTTATCAGTTACTATTAGAGTGATACTTGGTTACTATGTTATTGTTACTATAATTTGTTAAACTTTGTAGGTATATTAAAATCATTGTGGCATGCCGTAAGAAGCAATTATTTCGGATCTGATTTTCTATCAACACCCATCTGTCCATTATAGTGCTGAGCGATTAGTGCTTTTTGAGGTCGGTTCGGTTCGATTATTTGAAAAATAATCAAGGTTTTCGATGTTTTATTTAAAAAATAAATGACATTAAATGCACCATGCATTATGTGGGTTGAATGCTGTAACACAGAATAAGACAATTAATAAAAGTCCCATGAAGGTAGTGACTGTCCATTACTGCTTATCACTTATTAAACCATCATTTACTCACATTACTTTAATAAAATATTTCAGTTGTGTATATTACATTTGTTTTATTTGATGACTTTATTTCATTCCAAGTCATCATCTCATCTCTATAGAGCTGCTGCCTTTACTGTTTGACAAAATCACTATTTTAGTAGTTCTTAATAAGGCATACTTTTGACAGCTAAATACCAACTATAAATCATTTAGATCATGTAGAGATACCTTGCGAAGCAACTACTCTCTATCGCTCTCTATCGAGCGTTCTTATGTCCCTTCTCTCTGTCTCCGTGTCTACCACACACAGACCGTACAAGTAGGCGCGCAATGGATTATGCTCATTGTATTTAATGACCACGTGTTCTGTGCTAAACTATGTAGAATATTGGCCAGTTGGAAACTACAACTACATTGCACAGTTCGGGCTTGATCTGATTTAGCTCTTGAGAAACTGTGCATTGAGCTCACAGAAAAAACAGAACGAAATGGAATTCATATAATTTAACCAAAGTTAGTTGTCTAAAAAATGAAAAATAACTGACATTTCGGTTAATCGTTCAGCACTAGTCCATTATGTTAAATTTATAACAAAATATGTTTTAGTCGATATGTACTGGTCAGGGATGTGGACTACAGATGCACATTAAGTACAAACCATTGTTACTATTATTATTACAATGGTGGGTACTGTTACACAATGGTGTTGAGTTGTGAAAGAAAAGAATGGCCATTAACATTCAACATCAATCTGAGGAGTTATCTTGGCTAGTTAGCTGATATGATACCAGATTCTAATTATGTAAACAATCTCTCTCTCAAATGGCTTCAGGGAATCCGATTAAGATTCCACAATTTATCTTTCCATGAATCTGTGGTAGATACAAAGAGGGTGGGTAATGGGTATTGTTTCTGAGGGAATTGGCTGAGTCTTTATTTTGGGATCATGGGATGGACATTCCCATACTAGTGTGGTTGAGACCGCGCAGACAGGCTAGCATGATAGCCAATCAGAAGGGTACAGAGATAATAATATAATATGCCATTTAGCAGACGCTTTTATCCAAAGCAACTTACAGTCATGTGTGCATACATTTTTTACGTATGGATGGTCCTGGGGATCGAACCCACTACCCTGGCGTTACAAGCGCCATGCTCTATCAATTGAGCTACAGAGGACAAATGTGTGGCTGTAGCTTGGGGCAAGGGCTAATAAATCATTTGGGCTACAACTCCATTGAGAGTACACTACTCCAAATGAAAAATGTAATAATTTGAAATATGAAAATAATAAGACAAAAGATGAGTGAAATTAGACCTACACATTTTCATAAAAAGAAATGTCATCATTGGAATTTGTATCTTGGAGTGCAAGATTTACCCTTTGTCATTATAATTGGCTAAAACTTGATCCCAATTCTTCTTATTGGCTGGAGCACTTTGGTTGTTATTACCTGTTGTGACTTGTTGAAGCGATGGATCTCATCTATAAAGAGGATGGTCTTCCTCTTCATCAGTTTTAGCTCATTCTGGGCCTGCTTAATGACCTCTCGCACCTCATTGGTGGACGTGCTGGTGGCAGAGAGAGAAACGAAGCGGGCCGTGCCCCTCTTCTTACTGCTGCTGGCTATGATGTGGGCCAGGGTGGTCTGGAAGGAAGGACAGAGATACATAAACGTAAGAGTTCATAGTGATACCACCTCTAATTCTTATTCATCTATCTGAAGAAAGCGAGTACTTGTGAATACTTGTCTCATTCAAAACATGATTACTACTAATGATGAAGATAGATACATAACATGATACCCTCTCTTATGTGTGGGGCCCTATGTGGAAAGTATTTTCCCTCATTAAATCCTTGAGAATGCAGGCAGGATCTACTGATCCTGCTTCATGCCACTGTCACAGCATTTTATGTCTGTATTTTAAAGGCCTATAATGCACTTTCCAGTCCCTATAATCCACGGATAGAACTAAGTTCCCTGGTCCCTGTCTAGAAGACCCTGAAGACAGTCATAAATATAGCCTCTACTGTAAATCCTGGAATCCAGCTCCATAAATAAATCTTATGAAACCTGACCCCTGACACCAGGGGCTGACAAGCTGCAGAAATGACCTTATCTTTTATATCTGTCAGTAGGCTTAGCAAGAAAGGGAAAGTGTTAGAGGCATGCTGTTATGATGGCCAGTCAAGTGAGAGGTAGGTGGCCTAATATGGTGTTAACAGTGCAGATTACTCAAGCCTCCAGCCAGTCCCTATACAGTATCTAGGCCTAATGGGAGAATTTCAAGCAGTTCCTATTATGTGACTGACATCCATGTGCATTGCAATAATCACATTAACTCAGTCAAACATCACCAAAAAGCTGCAGAAATGACCTTATCTTTTATATCTGTCAGTAGGCTTAACGTTATGTAGGCACTGGGCATATGCCCTATTGGTTACACATTCCAAGGCTGCCGCAAGGTCTTCCCTGCCCACGGGGGTCTCGTGTTCTTGAGCAATGACCACCTCAGGGGGATGGTTGGTTGAAATCAATATTTGTCTGCTAGACGGATTATTTCCCTAACAAGCTGCAACTGAGCAACACTAATTGGTCTGGTCAAAAACAAAACAAAAACAACGCTGATGCTGATATGAGAAGTTGTTGTTGCTGCTGCTGCTATTGTCAGTCACACACTTCATCATCACTCACTTGTTACTTTCGTTTACAACATAAAAATATAAATTATGTCTATGTTTGCAAAGTAGAACACCACACCTTTCCACATCCAGGCGGTCCCCACAGGATCAATGACGGTATCTCCTGAGAGTCCAACAGCGACCTGAGAAGGGTGTGTTCTCCCACTACTTTGTTTTGGCCGAAATATTCCTCTAGCGTGGTTGGTCGCAGTTTCTCCGCCAGTGGTTTATCGATATTCAGCAGTGCGCTCGCAGGTGTTGTTTCACGCGGGGTCTTTTTCAGTGTGTTCGATACAGGTGGGTCGATGCCAAACTGTCCCATGGCCACACCTGGCCCTGTCTCGCCCGGTGAATGACGTTTAATTCCTTTACTGACAGCAGTGCTGGCACTCGGCTTATTCGATAAAAATGTTATTCGTTCACCTTCAATTGGACCCTTATTTCTGTTGATCTGAAACATACCGAAAACCGGAGAGGACGGCGTGGTACCTTTCCTCGCCTCCGACGAGTCTGTCTTGTTGACAGGTGGACTAGACGCTTCGCTAGAAATGCGAGATTTCTTGAGAGGTGGTTCGTTCTCGTCTTTACTGGTTGATGTCGGACAACTGTCATTGTTTAACAAACATCTGTCCAGATGGGCATTGATTTCTGACGCCGCGAAATCCTTCGAACAAACGGGACATTGTAATTGCTCTGCAACGCTACCTGCGACTTCGCTCGCCATTTTTTATTTCCCGCTAAACTTGACCTCGTCACGTGACCATAACACCGAAACTTTAGAATAATATTATTATTTATTATAGCAGGTATATATATATTTTTTATTTCACTTCATATTTATTGTGTTCACTTGCAGCATGTGAGCCATTTCTGTCTGCCTAGGACAGGGTATAACTTTTATATAAGCATTATGGGATTTGTAGTGTATGGCTCTGTGGTTAGTGGGCTTGAGGGCTTCTGGGCTACAGTTGATTTAAGCCACTTCAGTTTTACAAACAAAGATGCAATGGAACAGGTGACAGATGGAATAAATACATTCTAATTTTCCCCATTATCCAAATGTATATCAACATCTCTTGCCAGGAGTAACATAGCCTACATGCATGTCTGACTGTCTGTATTTTTCTCTTCAGCTCAGACAAGAGGCCCAGCAGCCATGAGAGACAGACACCTGAGGTCCCCCTGCAGAGGAGGACAGAGAGGGCCCACCATAGAGAGAGGGCCCACCATAAAGAGGGGGCCCATCATAGTTGGGTGTCTACCCCAGCCAAGGTGGCCAAGCTGAAGGTAGTCCACCAGCGAGCTGAAAGCCGGAACAACGTAGCCAAGCTGGCCTTCTTCTACTACCTGGAGAGGGTGGAGACCATGCGCTGCTTCTGGGAGCTGAAGCACATTGAGCTGGAGGGAATGGAATGGCATCAAACCCATGGAAACTATGTGTTTGACGTATTTGATACCATTCCACTTATTCCGCTCCAGCCATTACCACGAGCCCGTCCTCCCCAATTAAGGTGCCACCAACCTCCTGTGGTAGGCATATTATACACTGAGTATACAAAACATAAGGAACACCTTCCTAATATTGAGTTGCACCCCTTTTGCCCTCAGAGCAGCCTCAATTCGTTGGGGCATGGATTCCACAAGGTGTCGAAAGTGTCCCACAGGGATGCTGGCCCATGTTGACTCCAATGCTTCCCACAGATGTGCCAAGTTGGCTGGATGTCCCTTGGGTGGTGGACCATTATTGATACACACAGGAAACTGTTTAGCGTGAAAAACACAGCAATGTTGCAGGTCTTCACGCTCAAACTGGTGTGGCTGGCACCTACTACCATACCCCGTTCAAAGGCACTTAAATATTTTGTCTTGCCCATTCACCCTTTGAATGGCACACATACACAATCCATGTCTCAATTGTCTCAAGGCTTATCCTTATTTTACCCTGTCTCCTCCCCTTCATCTACACAGATTTGAAGTGGATTTAACAAGTGACATCAATAAGGGATCATAGCTTTCACCTGGATTAAGCTGGTCAGTCTATGATATGGAAAGAGCAGGTGTTCCTAATGTTTTGTACACTCTGTGTATATGGCAGATTTCATATGTCCTTTTCCTTTGTCATGCCAATTAAGTTTATGGTTGACTGGCACCATCTTGTGTCATAGTCCCATCACTGCAAAATGCTGCAATCTACTGCGTCCCCCTAGAGGTGGCTTTAACTTAACCCCCCAAAAAAGAACAGAACCAAGATGCAGTCAGTGTTTTAGCCACAGGGTGGCATCTCTCTCAACTTTGAAAAAGGAGCCAATAGTTTGACTCCATTCTCTGCTGTACGGTTTAGTTCGGACTTGATAAGAAACCATTATGCAGTACCCCAAAATATAATATTATACCCGTTACAACAAATTCATTTGTACACTATTATGCATTCTATAAGTAGTCAAAGACCAGTGGTATGGTTCACAATCCTACAGTATAAACGTATTTTAGAGCAGTACCTTGGTTTCACCAGAGACAGCCAAAACTTGAGTGAGTGCAGTTGATGGGGGTAGGCTGCTATTCACCAGACCAGTGAACTCTGTTGTCCTGTGGCGAGGCCAAGGGATTCCAGCATCCTTTCCAGACATGCCACACATTGCCACGGTTGTTTTGGTATCTCTGCTACCATACTACCCCCCCAGAGTGGCAGGCTGGCAGCGTTAGCCAGATGATGTGTTGCCAGCCACCAGGAACCGTATGTCCTTTCACAGCCAAAATGTATCATTGTTGAACAGCTCTGCTCTGCTAATCATATGGGGTTGGGTTTTGAGAAAATCACTTTATAGGGAGGACCTAAAGGGACATTTTAAATACAGCTGCATGGCATTAATATACATCACAGGAGGGAAATAATAATTAATTATACATTTATAAACAGTGAATTTTGTAATTATATGCTACTTACAGTGTACATTATAGTGTACATTACAAATGCTCAGCCATTGATGCGTATTGAAAGCAAATCTAATGAAGTTGAAGTACATGAGTACAGCCCAGCTAAAGAGAGTCCCCTGATAATCATCCATTGAAGTATAAAGGCCATTGTCCAATCAAAACAGTAGGGAGTAAGACACCGTGTGAATTGCAGTGCGACATTTAAAACAGTAATCCAATAGCACTGGCTATTTACACATTGATCCAAGTCTCCAAATTTGCATGCAGGCTACAGGACCCCAATAAGGCTACAGGACCCCAATAATCTCACATTCTCTTTCTTGTATGTCATGTTTTCCCTCAGCTCTTGTTAGTTTTACGAGTTACTATGACGTTTGTTGACATGTTGTTTTTATCCATTAATCATTCCCTTGTGCTATTATCATCACCTCTACTACGACAACCAGTGATTTTACCCTTGCAAACCAATATCATTATCATATCTGCTGACATACTTAGCACCCAAACAGGCAACTTGTACACACATGCCAAAGAGAGCTAACTGTCTGATCAGAAAGTATACTATGGTGAGAAGGAGAGAGAAGGGGAGAGAGTGAGCGAGAAGGAGAGAGAGGCGGGATGTTGAGAGGGAGAAGGAAAGAGAGAGATGGAGAGAGAGAGACCGACCTCTCAGCAGGTCTGTCTCTTAGACACCCTTTGCTGTCACCTGTCACTCTTTTGTCAGTGGGTCAAACCCTCCTGTCCTTTGGGCCCCATGGAGCTGAAGGGTGGGGGTTGGTAGAGTTGACAGAGTTGGAGTGGTGGCGCAGAGGTAACCGTTGTAGTAGTGTTTGGGCGTTCCTAAACCTCTCTCTCTCCTAATCAGCATACTGCTGCCATCTCTCTTAACCTTCCTCTCTGAAGCCTCTGAATCCTCTCTCTTCAAGAGGCTCTCATTGGTCACTGAGATTAAAGACAGAGCGGAGACTGGAAGGAAGAGAGTGAAAAAAGGAAAGGGGTAAAGCAGGTGGAAGTAAAGGAGTGCAGCCATGGAGAGCTTCTTCAAGGGCAGGGACATTTGGCTAATAAGCAGTATGTGTCTGATGGCTTCATACCTCTGGCACAGGCTCTGGGATTTACTCTGCTACAGGAGGACGCCTAGAGAATCCATTCCCTCTAATGTGCAGGTAGAGAAGAAGGCTTTTTGATGTCTTGTAAATAAGAGAAGTGTGGAGTCTGCTTTATGACAGTGGTGTTGTGAAAATGCTACTCATTGCTATCTCACACAGCACTGGAAAGCATGTAGCACCTGGGTCATGTGACTTACAGATGCAGGATCTTAATTTGATCACACTTTTGTTGCTGAGAATTTTCCTGCACCACAGGAAATGCAGATGAGCTTTGTGATTTATATAAATTCACTGAAAACAGTATTGCGCTTTTCACTGGTCAAATTAAGATCCTACATCTTTAGGACTTTAGCTAGAAAGGCATGGCTTTAGAATGTTGCTTTTACAGTATTTCAGTTTGTTCATTTCAACAGGGCATGCTGTTACTGTAGCTATCAAACAGTATGAAACCCCACAGTTCTGGCACAGATATGATGCTCCATTGGATACAAGTTTGAAGTAGAAAATAGCCCACCTGTACCTGTCAGCACCATAGTAAGATATGAGAAGGCCTTAGGCATTGGAACCTTACACTTTACACGTAACATGACCACGTGCTGTTTCACCAGTTTATATTTCCACTGAAAAACTTGCCAGCAATTCTGTGACAGTTGTAGATGCCCCAGCATTTTTGACTTTCAACACTAACTGAAGTGTATGAAAAATACTTAAGGGGACAAGACAAGCATGTTTTTTATTTTATTATGTAGGCCTACACACTGAAAAGGAAACAGAATTCTGTGTCCATTCATTTTGCCCGGAGTGGTTAGAGCTTCATGTTGATATGGACCCATGATGGAATTATGTAATGGAACATGATCTGTGGTGTCCCCGCTATGTAAGATGCTGACAGTGCAACTGAAGTATATGGAGGATTGCCCCTCAAATGGTGGGAGATTATAAGTGTATATTTATTTTATTTTTATTTCACCTTTATTTAACCAGGTCAGCCAGTTGAGAACAAGTTCTCATTTACAACTGCGACCTGGCCAAGATAAAGCAAAGCAGTGCGATAAAAACAACAACAACACAGAGTTACATATGGAGTAAACAAAAACGTAGTCAATAGCACAATAGAAAATAGAAAATCTATATACAGTGTGTGCAAATGTAGTAAGTTATGGAGGTAAGGCAATAAATAGGCCATAGTGCAAAATAATTACAATTTAGTATTAACACTGGAGTGATAGATGTGCAGAAGATGATGTGCAAATAGAGATACTGGGGTGCAAATGAGCAAAATAAATAACAATGTAAATAACAATATGGAGATGAGGTAGTTGGGTGGGCTAATTACAGATGGGCTGTGTACAGGTACAGTGATCGGTAAGCTGCTCTGACAACTGATGCTTAAAGTTAATGAGGGAGATAAGTGTCTCCAGCTTCAGAGATTTTTGTAGTTCGTTCCAGTCATTTGCAGCAGAGAACTGGAAGGAATGGTGGCCAAAGGAGGTGTTGGCTTTGGGGATGACCAGTGAGATATACCTGCTGGAGCGCATACTACGGGTGGGTGTTGCTATGGTGACCAATGAGCTAAAATAAGGCGGGGATATGCATAGAAGTGATTTATAGATGACCTGGAGCCAGTGGGTTTGGCGACAAATATGTAGTGAGGGCCAGCCAACGAGAGCGTACAGGTCAC